TCTATTTAAAAATAATATTAACTTCATTCAAAAAGAATGTAACTCACATTCCATATTTTTAAAAGATTCTTAAATTTTCAGAGAACATTGTAAACACTTACAATGCCTGTATGACCATTTTTTTTTTCTATTTTTGAACCATTAAAATAGACAAAAATTATATCAACCCTTTAAAAGTACGAAATTATGGTTTTTATTAATTTACCCAATTTAAGCTGAATTTGCCTTAACTTTAGGATTAAAAACCACTTAAATATTATTGTAAAATATTTTTTTGTGAGATTTTAAGGATATTAAAATATACTACATACAAGTGGAATATTAGTTGTATGCCGTAATCAAAGTCAAAATGGTATTCCTATTCTGCCCTATAAAACAACTAGGAAGTTTTTGTTATTTGGAAGGATTCCAGAAAGAAAACTATTCGTGGAGTTATTTACTAATCCTTTTTACCTTTTTGATTTCTCCTAAACATAATCATGAACAATGAATTATGAATTTTTTATCTATTATTCTTTCTCATTTGTTAGCCATCTCAGAACACTTGCTTTATGTGAGGATAAGTAAGATAAATACTGTTTAAAAAATAATACAAAAACATGGATACATGAAAATTCTCTAAAATCAATAAATTGCTGCAATGTTCAAGAACAACAATATTTGTAACAGAAGACATGGGTCATCCCATATCAGAAAGGTGACCAATTTATCTACTGTACATCTTGTACATATTGAGACACTGAACCTTTGTGTTGCTTGTTAGGAAAGAGAAGAAATGCCAAAATTTTGGCAAGACAATACCTGTGGCAATCAAAATCTTTGTTTCATCTCATAACAAGGAATCTCATTGACACTTTCATATTTTTCGATATAGAACATACAAGTGAAGCAAATGAACAAGCACTTACAACCCAATTGAAAACACTGAAACAACCGAGAGAGTCTAGGGAGGATCAGTGTACACAAACTTATCAAAACAAATAAGAAGTCAATGGAGAATCTGGTCCTATGGGATCACAAAGTCAAACTTTGAGTTGTTGTGTTAAATATAACAAATTCATAGATAGGAGCTAATATTTGGGCAAAAAATGTCTAACTTAAGGCTTTTTAGGCAGTTTTTTCAGGAACAACACCAATGGCTACTTTTGACATGGACAGTTTAAGGACATATTCTTTTCTTTTATAGGAGTGCTTTGATTGGTATTTGCTAGAATTGGATGGTGAGTTCCTCAAGTCTCCTCCCCTTCAAACCTTTAAATTAGTTTTGCTGCACAAGTTCATGTATAGCTTTCTCCCCCTCTTCCTCTATTCTTCTTCTGCTCATTATAATCTTTCTCCATGATCAGGAGATGTGTCAAACTTCATCAGATTATCTTCCCAACATCATACCCTGAAATGATCAGGAGTTGTGTCAAGACCTCACTCAGGCTCTTGACCCAAAGGAATCACCACAGCAATGCATCTTCGTTTGCGTGGGAAAAACCTTGTTCCGGGTGGATCAAGTTGAACTTTGACGGAGCTTCCAAGTGCAAATTCAGCAAAGCCAGCATAGGTGGTGTGTGCCGGGACCACGAAGGGCTGTTCATGCTGGGATATGCTGAATGCATTGGGGGGGCGACGAGCTCCGTTGCAGAGTTAGCTGCTTGCAAACGAGGCCTTGAGCTGGCCTTGCAGAACGGGTGGCACAGTATCTGGGTTGAAGGTGATGCAAAGACGGTGGTGGATGTTTTCATGAACGAGGTGAGATTGAAGTCCAAGGAAGATCTAAGAATTGTGAGAGAGATTAGGGTGTTGATTCCCCAGCTGAATGACTTCAGTGTATCCCATATATACAGGCAAGGGAACAGAGTTGCTCATGAGTTTGCCAAGCTGGGATACCGATATCAAAAGCCACAAATTTGGCACGACATTCCCCCCAATGAAGTACAGCGACTTCTTCGCCATGATGCTGAAGCTAAAGCTATTATTCTTAAGAAGTAGATTTCTCTAAAGATGCATCCTGCATTTCAGTAAGATGTGTCTTGAGTCAAACTCGGTCGGGACCATCACATTAGAGATTGAATACTAATGTAAAACAAAAGTAACTTAAAAGCTTAAGCTGTTAAGCTATGGGTGAAACTTTAATCATTTAGCTTTTTCAACCCTTAGCAATATATGGCTGTGATTTAATTTTCTTTCAATCTTCATCTTATACATAAATATTTTCCTAACATCTACTTGTTCATGTGTGAATTCATCTATTTTCCCTTTATCCATAAGTTTTAAGTCAATTATGATTTGACATATTATCTGGCTCACTTTTTTATTTTACTCATTTCTTTTATCAATCTTGGGTCAGATGAGTTTGAGCCAAACTAGGTCAAGACTACCATTTATGAGATCGGATACTAATGAGAACAATGGGCTATTAAGTTATAACTCAAATATAACAAAATATTACCCATTTTTTCAAATCCTTAGAAATGTGAAACTATTATTGAGTCTTTATCTAATCTTTATCTCACATATGAATATTTTTCTAATAGTATATTACCTAGTTGAAGAGGATCCAATGCCTTCAAGAGAATCCTGCTTCCAAAGAGTTTACCTGAGATTTTGAACGTAGTTAAAATCAAACAAAACTTACAAGGGGTAATTCAATGGATTTTCAAGCACTTATGCAACCTCTATTGCATTGTGCTTTAGTAGATTAGATTTCGAATGCTACTACTCAAACACCTCAATGCCATAGATCTTCCAATCATATCTGTCTACAAGTGTGTATGGGAAGGTATTGAAAAGTTCCATGTGCAAGAAATCTCACCTACCATCATGATCATCATGATCATTGGAAAACAAAGATGAAATTAAACGCATCCTAAATGCTTCTTGGGTATCACAAGCTATTACTCTAATCGAACCCTCTGTCCCACACCAGCAAATCAGCATACCAGTCTTCTTACATATCCCAGATGATTGTAGGTTTTGCTCCCTGAGCAGAAAGGATATCAACCATGTGTTTCTAATGTGGCTTTTCCTTACAGATACAGAGATCCATTTTCGATGTTTCTAATACATTTGATGAACCTGCTAACTTCAGTTCCTTTTGGAATAACGGGATAAGAAGACATTTTATCAAGAATCATCAATTTGTTAAGATATAAATCAATATATTATGTTTCATCTAATGATTTAAACTTTTAAATGAAATGCTTTGACTCTCACGTGCTTTGTTTGAGTCAGTCTACCACCCTTATGTGAGGATGAGCATTAAGAATATAGCTCATAAAATCATGTCTCAAATACTGGATTAAATTTTTAGATGAAACAACAAATGTAGCTTAAGAGGCTTGAGAAAAAGAAAAAGATGAATCGTTCCTAACCTGGCAAGTAAGTGAGAAGGAAGTCTTGACATGCTCTCTTTTCCATGTTCACATGATAGATCCAAAGAGCTCCCTCTTCTTCTTCTGTTCAATGTGGTTTCTCTATTTTGCAATCGGCAAATTGCTTTCACCACGCTCCACTTTCCAATATATTCAGTAGATTGCTATCCTGTCCTTCAAGAAAAAGTATCAACTGCTAAGAACTGAAACCAGATCTCATTACTCTTTTTTTTTTTGGTAGAAAAACTAGAAATATTTACTTTGTTCAAAAACCATAACTTTGCATGTAGAATTCCCTCATCTGCTTCCAACTTTCTTCCACCAGGATAAGAGACATGCTGCTAAAAAGTACTCGTGCACATCCATTAGTCCCACTTATGAATGCAACCTAGTCCCTTTGTTTAATGCACAAGGAGAGGCATGTTACCTGGTCTTCATCACTGAGAAATTGCACAAAGATCATGGACATGCCAGGACACCATATCTGCTTCCACTCGCCAACAAACTACCTTTATCTTGGGTTAGTAATTTGAGTCAAATGGTTCGATCCTCCTAGGTCATGGCAGTCTTAGCTGCATTTCCTCAAACAAATGAAGTGCTGCATTTCTTCAAACAACTTGAAGCCCAACTCCGCCTGACCACACACGCGACAGACACATGTATAAATGAAGTGCTGCATTTCCTCGAACGACTTCAAGTCCAACCCCACCTGACCACACACGACATACATATATCTCATTGAGGTGCCACATTTCCTCGAACACCTTCAAGGGCAACCCCACCTGACCACACGGCATAAATATTAAGGTGCCTCGTTTCCTCGAACACCTTCAAGCCCAACTCTCACTCGTCCACACATGGCGCACATTTTTATCAATGAAGCGCCGCATTTCCTCGAACAACTTCAAGCCCAACGCCACCTGACCACAGACGGCATACATATTTATCGATGCAGTGCCGCAAGCATATCAATCGAGAGTCCTGGAAAACACAGTCATCTTGATGCCGTTGCTCCTCGCGCGGCCATGGCAGCGCTTCCCCTGCCCCAAGGGCCCTCCACAGCACGAGGTTGCGCCCCACGCTGCCGCCCAGAAACATTCGGTTACTTCCCTGAGTGGGTAAATGACGGCACTTTGACTTTACAAGTCAACCGGCTCCACCAGGCCATTAATGAGGCCACAACCCTCGCCGACTTCGGTCACTCTCCGGTCCTCTTACCAGACCTTATGACATCATCATACATGGCATTAATAATACTAATAATATTAATAATGTACATTATATCGTTATGGAACAGAAATCGTTACAAATCTATCATGCAAAAGCTTCTTGCCGATAAAGAATTTCTATTCAGTCAGAATAATTTTTGTGGTTTGGATTTTGATCATTCATATCATATAAAATATTACATTATTTTTAAATTTTCATAATAATTATTCTCAATACATAAAGATCAATTTTTAGTAATTTGAATTTAGGTCAATGCAACCTAATTTTAATAAATTATTTTTAAAAATAAATTGTCACATAATACTGAATAAAATACTGAAACACAGGGGTAAGTCAAGGAGCGGTGATTGGATGTGGCTGACCAATAACTATGCCGTGCCACCTCACCCATCCACCCACCGACTCTCTCTCTCTCTCTCTCAAAAGAAGGTTCCCGGACTCCAAAGCAGACCATTGAGCTTACGGAGGCCAGCGCAGTGGCTTCTTTTACGTGCCCTCGGTAGCGCGATTCATACCGCAGCGATCTGGTCCCCCGCCGGCGATTGAGAAGGTGCAGGACTCTGGTAGCCGATCTGGGAGGTGTTCGCCATGGCGTTAGCCGAAGTCAAGGCGGGGACGGAGGGGAAGGGGTGGGGGATTTGCCGGCTGCCTTTCTTCGGCGGCGGGGGCGGAGGTGATGGAGGATCGTCGTCCAACTCTTCGTCGACGTTCATTTTGACGCATAACCACCATTACCGATCGTCGGGGCAGGGCCAGACGGGGCAGGTGGAGGGAGGGGCCGCAGCGGCGCAGGCCGGAAGGCGCAGCTCCGGCGCCACCTCGGTCTCGTCGGTTGCCAGGTCGCTGCTGCCCACCAGACGCCGCCTTCGGCTCGATCCGCCCACCAAGCTCTACTTCCCTTGTGAGTGCTTGCTCTCGTAACTATTTTATGGGTTCTTGTTGTCGGATTTTTCAATCTTTTTTCGTTAGATCTCGTTTGAAGCTTAGAAAGGAGTGATCTTTTTCTCTTTTTTATTGGGTGTTCGCGGATCTCGAGACTTTTTGGGGGCTGAATTGGCCAAAAATTGTGGCTTTTGCTTCTGATTTGGGCTCTTCTTTCTCGTAAAAGTACTTCTTTTGGTGGCTACTGTTTAAATTTAGGTAATAAAAGGTGGATTAACTTCTAAATTTGTAGATTTGTTCTTTCGATCCATTATCTCAGATGCGAGTTATGGAGACTCAAAGCACCCTAACTTTGGGTCTCTTTCTATGGATCGTAATCCAATTTAGACATATTACACCATTACATTCTGTAGTTTTACAGCAAAGTTGTTTTCTTTTTCTCTCCTGGGAAACCAATTTCTGATTGTTATAGCCATTTGCTAATTCGATACTTTCTTATGATCTGTTGTTATAATATTAATTGCTGTAATATTAGTCTTCCTTTTCTGTCTCTCGTTAACCTTGGTTGTTGTTACAGAATGATTCAGTTGCTTAGGTTTGAGTTTTGACGTTTGCTTCTTTCCCCTAAAACTTTATGCCTGATTACCTGATAAAAGGTTCTTTAATGTGTTCAAGTAAAGAGGTTGTAGTATGGTTTTCTACCGTTGGATATTAGTCAATAAGGTTGCTCCTTTTTTCTTGTCTGTGTTATGCTTTTGAGTATTGTTTTTTTTCCTTATGTTATTCTAATGTCTTCTTGTTTAGCCAACAAAAACTGTGATGGTCTAATGAAATTAAATATAGCTTCTGCTTCTAGTTTGAGAATTCTTTTTGAGAAGCTGCCTGTCAGAGAATATATGCCGGGGTGTTCTGTGATTAACCTTCTAGTTTATATGGTTTCTTTGTTGAAGATGAACCTGGAAAACAGGTGCGAAGTGCAGTCAGGATTAAGAACACCAGCAAGTCGCATGTGGCATTTAAGGTGTGTGCGATCTTTCATCTTATTCTAGCTATTACCTGTTTTCTGACTTATTTCTTAGTAGTAATACACAGTCTTCAGCTTAATATATGTTCTTTGTAATAATTAATTCTTCTAAAATATTTTTTATGTTTTTCATCGAGCATGATGTTTCTGTTTGAAATATCAACTAAAGTTACAATGGCCTACTTTTTTCCATGTTCTTTTACTTTTTCTAAAATATTCTTGGGCAAATTTTGATTATTCTAAGTGGATTTAGTTTCAAACAACTGCACCAAA